ACCGAACATACAAATCAAGAGGTACATGATGGTACATGCAGATGGTGTTCATTAGCTTTTTGTTTGAAACCCCTACCGGCTCTACTCTACCCTCAAAGCCTCAGCCCGAAGATCGTCAAACCCTGAAGCTTTCGGCCCTCAGCCTCTTAAAGGCCCGTGAACCCTGCAAAATCCTTCGGAACCTCACAAAGCCTCGCATTATCCTCTGAAGCCCCGAAGTTGCTACAAACGGCATCCTGGTCCTCAACAACCATGAACTTTCCTTGAGCCTTCAACCCGAAAACAATCCGTAACACCGTCACCCCCCAAACCCTGAGCCCTGACCCGTAAGAGACATCCCGCGCCGTGCCTGGAGCAATTTCGCACACAGGAGCACCGCGTCGTCCACTCTGACATCAAGCCGGACCGTCTGTTCGTCTATACGTGTGTGTTATGACGGTTCTAGTAAGTTTTATTGAGGGCTTTGTAAGGGTTAAGGGCGTTTGTAAGGTCTTGGAGTCTTATACGACGGTTTGGTTTGAATAATCTCCCTCGGAGTCTCTCAGCATCTTACAACATGCCCCAAAACCTGATTCTAATGGTTCATAATCCTTACTTATGTTCTGCACCCAACCCACAACCTCCAAGCATCAAAGATCCTTAAGGAAGTCTCATGAGAGTCCATATCGAACCCCTGAAACACCGTAATGACAGCACAGGACAACATCCTCATCGATGAGGATGACCGGGGCCACATCAGAGACCGGCCCTCGTTTTCCGGGTTCTGTCAGCGTTCCAAACGGTATGGGAGGGAGCTGTATGGGCTTTGCAAGGCATCTGTGAGGGTTCTAGAAGCCATACTGCTGGGGGAGGCATGTTAAGTACAATCTCAGAATTTGCTATACTAGACCCTAAACCCTAAACCCTAAACCCTAAACCCTAAACCCTAAACCCTAAACCCTGAAACCAACCCTAGACCCTAAACCTTGGTGGCCCTGCTCGCCTTCTGCCACGTCCTTGCTGGTTCTGTTTCGCCTGGTGCGAGCTTGAAATGGTCAAACCCTTTGCGGAAAAAGGCGTTCAACAAATAAACCTTCTGGCCCTTGCTATAGTACCCCTTATAGCAACATACCCCTTAATTAAGGAATATACTTTAAAACATAATAATAAGGCCCCTATAACTGAAGGTATATTCCTTAACTAAGGGGT